AGCAGGAATCATTGTAGAAACTGTCAAGCTGATCCTAAAATTCATTTGTAAATGCAAGAAACCCTGAATAGCCAAAGCAATATTGAAAAAGAAGAGCAAAGTTGGAGAACTCACACTTTCCTATGTTGAAACTTAACTACAAAGCTATAGTAATCAAGACTGTGTAGTACTGCCGTAAGGACAGCTATATAGACCACTGGAATATAATTGAGAGTCTAGAAATAAATGCTTACATTTATGGCCAACTGATCTTTAACAAAAAATATCAAGGCAATTCACTGGGGGAATGGGGCTGGTATAATTGAATATCCACATGCAAAAAATGAACTTAGACTCTTACTTCACACCATGTAAAAAAATTCATTCAAGATCAAAAATAGATATAAATTTCAGAGATATAATTATTAAAATTTTAGAACATAAAAGAAAAATTTTTTAGCCCTGAATTAGGCAGAGTTCTTAGATATAACACCAAAAGCATGATCCATAAAACAAAAAATTCTAAAATGGACTTCATAAAACTCAAAACTTTTTGCTTCAAAAAAGACCATTAAGAAAATGAAAAGACAAGCTACAGGCTAGGAGAAAATATTTGCAATTATTCTATCTGATAGAGGACTTATACCCAGATATCTGCTGTTACAAATCAATAATGAGACAAACACCCACTTTAAAAATGGGCAAAAAATTTGTATACACATTGGACCAAAGAAGATATATGCATAGTTAATAAGCAGATGAAAAGATGCTTATCATCATCATTACTTTTTAGAGATATAAAAATTAAATAAAAATAAATTTGTATATTAAATATTTGTATATTAAATTAAATATATTAAATAAAAATAAATTTGTATATTTTAGAGATATACAAATTCATTTCATAATGAAATACCCTTTACACCTACTAGAATGTCTATAGTGCAAAAGATAGAAAATACTGTTTGCAAGGACATACAGAAAATGGAACCTTCATGCATCAGTGGTTTACACTTTTTAGAAAACAATTCAGTTTCTTAAAAAGTTAAACATAAACTTACCATACATCCCAGCAACTGCACTCCTAAGTATCTACCCAAAGAAAATAAAAATATATGTCTACACAAAGACATGTAAGTAGGTGTTTACAGCAGCATTTTCATAATAACAAAAACTAGAAATAATCCAAATGCCCATTGGTGAATGAACAAAAAAATGTAATAAATTCACCTAATGGAATAATACTCAGCAATCAAAAGGAACAAACTACTGATACATGCTACAACATGAATAAGGCTCAAACACACCACTCTAGGTGAAAGAAGGCAGGTGAAAAAGACTACGTATTCTATGATTCCATTTTCATAAAATGTTTAGAAAATCAAATTAATAGGGACAGAAAACAGATCAATGGTTACCTAGGACCAAGCTGGGAGTGGGGATTAACTGCAGATGGGAAGGAAGGAAACTGGTGGAGTGGTGGAAATTTCTAACACTGGATTGTGAAGATAGTTATACAGCTCTGTTAATTTACCAAAATTATGGAATCATACATGTAAGATGGATGAAATTTACAGTATGTAAGCTATACCTCCTTAAAGCTATTGAAACATAATGGAGACCCAAAAAAGTTAAATATTTGTTTCTCTACAATTTGATAATCCTAAACTCAATAATTTTTAGCAGTAGGCATATAGGCTTTTATAATTTTTTAGTTATAAGACATTCCTAATATATTCACTAGTTTACTATATTTTATGTAAATGATAAAAAATACTGGTTTATATAATTTAGGTAAAGAATTTAGAAGCTAAAATTTTACTTCTATACATTTATTTAAAATGAAACTATAATGAAGCCAATTACCTTTTTCAAAGCAGGGCAGAAATTAAAGAAAAGTCGGTGGTTATATGTTTTGAATCTTTCAGGAAGATGCCAGCTCTGAATTATTTCTTCATCAGAAATCACATGATGATCCAGTGCTTTGAGAGACCATATACTGTTGACAAGAACATGTCTATATCCTTTTTTAAGGCTTACTGGACAATCAAACATAGTGAGGGCAATGAGGCTTGGACAAGCAGATAACATACATACATTCTTTAACTTTGCAAACCCATTGTCATGTAGATAGAGAAGTTTTAGGTTCTTCAATCCACTCCAAAATCTGGTATCTGGTAGACTCTTGATCTGAAATATCATTAATAATAATATGTTAAATACAAATATAAATTTTCCATGAATTACATTGAAAAAGGAAAAATATTAAACATCTTCTATAGTTCAATATTTTCCCAAATAGCAAATTTCTCATTAGTAAGCAAAAACAGAATTTCTAATTACCCAAATGATGACTGGGGTAAAGCAAAATACAATAGGTGTCTGTAATTACTAGTGTAATTAAATAAACAAACATATATATTCCATTCAATAAAAGTCCCTTTGTAATAAGCAGACTCTTTAAACTTTCATAAAATACTTTCCTTACATGAAAAACTTAAGGGGTCAAGTCAATCAATGTGATAGTGATACTCCACATTAACAAAATGAAGGATAAATATTATACGATCATCACAATAGATATAGAAAAAGTATTTGACAAAATTCAACATCCATTTATGATTAAAACTCTCAACAAGCTGGGTATAGAGGGACTGTACCTCAACATAATAAAGGCCATATCTGACAAGCTCACAGCTAACATCAGTCTCATTGGTGAAAAGATAAAATATTTTCCTCTAAGAGCAAGAGTAAGACAAGGATGCCTGCTCTCACCACTTTTATTCAGCATAGCACTGGAAGCTAGAAGTCCTAGACAGAGAAATTAGGCAAGAACAAGGAACAAAAGGCAACCAAATTGGAAATGAAAAAGTAATACTGTCACTTTTTGCAGATTACATGATATACAGGCATACCTCAGAGATTTTGTGTGTTGAGTTCCAGGCCACTGCAATTAAGTAAATATTGCAATAAAGCAAGTCACAAAATTTTTTTCATTTCCCACTGCATATTAAAGTTGTTTACACTATACGGTAATCTACTAAGTGTGCAATAGCATTATGTCTAAAAATACCAATGTACCTATCTTAAGTAAAAAATACTTTATTGCTAAAAAATGCTAACCATCATCTGATAATGTGAGATTGCCACAGACCTTCAATTTGTAAAAAATGCAGTATCTGTGAAGTGCAATAAAATGATGCCCAATAAAATGCAGTATGCCTCTATATGGAAAATCTTAAATACTGCACAAAAAACTGTTAGAACTAATAAACAAAATCAGTAACATTTCAGAATACAAAATCAATACACAAAATTATGTTGACTTTCTACACATTAAATATTAACTATCAGAAAGAGAAATTAATAAAACAATCCCACTCACAACTGCATCAAAAAGAATAAAATGCCTAGGAATATATTTAACCAAGGATGTGAAAGATACGTACACTGAAAACTATAAGACATATTGAAAAGAAATTGAAGAAGACATAAATAAATTGAAAGATACTCTGTGCTTGTGAATTGCAAGAACTAATATTGTTAAAACGTTCATACTACCCAAAACAATCTACAGATTCAACAAAAGCCATACCAAAATTTCGATGGCATTTTTCACATAAATAGAACAAATAATCCTAACATTTATATGAAATTACAAAAAACCTCAAATAGGCAAAATGATCTTGAGAAAGAACAAAGCTGGAGCCCTCACACTTCCTGAATTCAAGGATATTACAAAGCTACAATAAAAAAAAAAAAAAAAAACAGTATGGTACTGGCATTTAAAAACAAACAAACAAACACATAGGTCAATGGAACAGAAAGATAGCCCAGAAATAAACCAACACATATATGTTCAATTGATTTACAAAAAAGGAACTAAGAATATACAAGGGAAAAGAAGAGTCTCGTCAATAAATTGTGTTGGGAAAACTGGACAGGCACTTGTGAAAGAATGAAACTTGACCACTATCTTATGCCACACACAAAAATTAACTCAAAATGGATTAAAGACTTGAACACAAAATCTGAAACCATAAAACACCTAGAAGAAAACATTGGTGGTAAGTTCTTTGACATGGGTCTTGGCAATCTTTTTTTTTTATTTGACACCAAAAGCAAAGGCTAAAAAAAGCAAAACTGAGCAAGTGAGATGATGTCAAACTAAAAAGCTTCTGCACAGTAAAGGAAACCATCAATGAAATGAAAAGGCAACTGAGACTTCCTTGGTGGTCCAGTGCTAAAGAATCCACCTTACAATGCAGGGCATGCAGGTTTGATCCCTGGCCAGGGAACTAAGATCCCACATGCCGTGGGGCAACTAAACCCGCATGCCACAAATACTGAGCTTGCGCACCTCAACTAGAGAGCTTGTGTGCCACAGACTACAGGTCCACAAGCTCTGGAGCCCACGTACCACAGTGAAAGATCCCACATGCTCAAGAATGATCTTGTGTGCCACAACCAAAGACCCAACGCAGCCAAAAATAAATAAAAATAAATAAATCTTACAAAAAAAAAGGCAACCTACTGAATAGGGGAAAATATTTGAAAATCATATCTGAGAAGGGGCTAATATCCAAAACACATAAAGAATTCACACAACAATAGCAAAAACCCAAACGATCCAACTAAAAAATGGGAAGAGGATCTAAGTTATTGTTTTTCCAAAGAAGACATCCAATGGCCAACAGGTACATGAAAAGATACTCAACATCACCAATCATCAGGGAAATGCATATTAAAACCACAAATTCAATCACCTCACACCTATTAGAATAGCTATTATCAAAAAGACAAGAAATAACAAGTTGTCAAGGATGAAGAGAAAAGGGAACCATGTGCAGTGTTTGTGCAATTGTAAATTGGTGCAGCCACTATGAAAACAGCAAGGAGGTTCCTCAAAAACTGCAAAATAAAGGGCTTCCCTGGTGGTGCAGGGGTTGAGAGTCCACCTGCTGATGCAGGGGACACGGGTTCATGCCCCGGTCCGGGAAGATCCCACATGCCACAGAGCGGGTAGGCCTGTGAGCCAAGGCCACTGAGCCTGCATGTCTGGAGCCTGTGCTCTGCAACGGGAGAGACCACAACAGCGTACCGCAATAAAAAAAAATTAAAAAAAAATAAAATTCAAAATAAAGCTTCCATATGATCCAGCAATTCTACCTCCAGGAATTTATTTCAAGTAAATGAAAACACCAGCTCAAAAAGACACATACATCCCCATGTTCACTGCACCATTATTTATAACAGCCAAGACGTGGAAGCAACCTAAGTGTCTATCTATAGATGAATAAGTAAAGAAAACCTTGTGTGTATACACAGTGGAGTACTGCTGACTCATAAAAAAGAATGAAATCATGCCATTTGAAACAAAATGGTGGATGTTGAGAGCACTACGCAAAATGAAATGTCAGACAGAAAAAGACAAGTACCATATGATCTAACTCATGTGGAATTTAAAAAAGCAAACAAACAAAAACCAAATTCTTAGATACAGAGAACTCATTGGTGATTCAGAGACAGAGGGGGTGGGTGATATGGTGAAGTTGCTGAAAAGATACAAATTTTCAGTTATAAAATAAATGAGTCCTGGGGATATAATATACAGTAGGGTGAGTACAGTTAATAATACTGGATTATATATTTGAAAGTTGCTAAGAAAGCAGATATTAAAAGTTCTCATCACAAGGAAAAAATTGTAACTCTTTGGTGATGGATGTTAATTTGACTTATTGTGATCATTTTGCAATATACACAAATATTGAACCATTATGTTTTATACCTGAAATTAATGTAATACTATATGTCAATTATATATCATTAAAAAATTAAGTCATAGTTTTAAGACTATGGATTTAAGAAGTAAACCAAATCACACACTGTTGGTCTAGATATTTTAAATTAAAAATGTTTGCTTATACTTAAAATTTTTGTGCTTATATATAGTTTTTATTTAGTTTTGAATTGTTTATATTTCACATATAAGACTACCTGGGAGAAATACTGTACATAGATAACATAAGTGCTTATTAAATATCAACTTCATTTATATGCAGATAACTGAAATGGCTATTGCTTACGTGATTTCCATGGAGATCAAGTTTGACTAATTGTATACAACTCTGAAGTGGACGAATATCTGTAATAAAATTGTTTGAGAAGATGCACACTCTAAGAGAGATACAAGATTGAAAACTTTCCATAGATTTTAAATGAAGGCCACTGAACTTCACAAAAACAAAATCTTTTTGATCTTCTACTATATTTTCATTATAGTGACTCCATTCTCTATGATTGGTTAGCTCTTCTGTGATTGTTCCATGAAACATCTAGGAAAAATGGGAAATTTTGAACGTTTTTTCGACTTTCAAAAATAAATCTATATTAAAAAAAAACTTTCTAATAGACAGTCAGAATAAATGGGTAGAAAAGTTAAAATTTTTAAGAATATAATTTCCATAAAACCTATCCCAAAACATTTTAAATATATAACATGTATATAATTACAACTCAAAAATGTATCATTTCTCTCACCAATGAAATAATCAATAAGAGGAAGAAAAACTTTCTTTTTCCTGAAATACTTAAAGAACATGAAATTCAGTGAAATAGCTGGGATAAAAACATCACCTCTAGGCAATACAACTAAAACAAACATAGAAAACTATACCCCTCAGACTTCCCTCATGGCACAGTGGTTAAGAATCTGTCTAACAATGCAGCGGACACAGGTTCGAACCCTGGTCTGGGAGGATCCCACATGCCACAGAGCAACTAGGCCCATGTGCCACAACTACTGAGCCCGCATTCTAGAGCCTGCAAGCCACAGCTACTGAGCCCGCATGCTGCAACTACAGAAGCCCATGCTCTGCAACAAGAGAAGCCACCACAATGAGAAGACCGTGCACCACAGTGAAGAGTAATCCCTGCTTGCCACAACTAGAGAAAGCCCATGCGCAGCAACAAAGACCCAACATAGCCATAAATAAATAAATAAATTTATTTTTTTAAAAAGAGAAAACTATACCCTAACATACCTTGTATAATAATTTTGGTTGAAAGATGTTGTTAAATAAAGAAGAGCATTGAATGATAAATCCCCAAGTTAGGAGAGTGATCATCTTTGTGGGAAAGGCTGATAAATGCAGCTAAATGAAATTAAGGGGCAATAAAGGGCTACAAGGATGATTCAACAATGTAAATCAATCATTGTGATAAACTTCATAAATGGAATGAAGGATAAAAATCATATGATCATATCAACAGATGGCAGAAAAATCATTTGAAAAAATTTAACATCCTTAAATAAAATCTCTAAACAAAGTGGGTGCAAAAGCACTGCAATTCAGCATAATAGAGGCCATAAATTATAACCCTGCAGCTAACATCATACTCAATGATGAAAGGTTGAAAGCTTTCCTCTAAAATCAGGGAAAAGAAAGTGCCCACTCTCACCATTCCTATTCTACACAATATGGATATCCTAGCTGGAGTAATCAGGAAAGAAAAAGAAATAAAATCAGAAAGGAAGAAGTAAAATTGTCTTTGTTTGCAGATGACTTGATGTTATATACAGAAAACCCTAAAGACTCCATCAAAAAACTGTTAGAACTAATTTAAAAATTCAATTAAGTTGAAGGGCACAAAATCAACATGCAAAACTCAACTGCATTTTATATTTGTTAACAATGAACTATGTGAAAAAAAATAAAGACAATCCCATTATAATAGCATCAAAAATACTCAAGTACTTAGGAATGCATTTAAACAAGGAGGTGAAAGATCTGTACACTGAAAATTGTAAGACATTAATGAAAGGAATTGAAGAAAACAAAAATGATTGGAAAGCTATCTTGTGTTCATGGATTGGAATAGTTAATACTCTTAAAATGCCCATACTACTACCCAAGTCATCTATAGATTCAGTGCAATCCCTATCAAAATTTCAATGACACTTTTCACAGAAATAGGAAAAGCAACTCTAAAATCCATATGGGACCACAAAAAAAAATAGGAAAAACAATCTTGTGAAAGAACAAAACTGGAGGCTTCATACCTTCTGATTTAAAACAACATATTACAAAGTTACAGTAATCAAAATAGTATGGTACTAGCATAAAAACTGGCACATAGATCAAGGCAAAAGAATTGAGAGTCCAGAAATAAACCCATAAATATGCAACAATATCTGACAAAAGAACCAAGAATACTCAATAATGAAAGGACAGTATCTTCAAGAAATGGTGTTGAAAAAACTGCCTAAGAATGAAATGTTCACATGCGAAAGAATAAAATTGGACCACTATCTTACACCACTCACAAAAATTACTGGGTGGGGCTTCCCTGGTGGCACAGTGGTTGAGAGCCCACCTGCTGATGCAGGGGACACAGGTTCGTGCCCTGGTCCAGGAAGATCCCACATGCCACAGAGTGACTGGGCCTGTGAGCCATGGCCGCTGAGCCTGCACATCCGGAGCCTGTGCTCCACAACAGGAAAGACCACAACAGTGAAAGGCCCGTGTACTGCAAAAAAAAAAAAAAAAAAAAAAATTACTGGAAATGGGTTAAAGACTTAAAGGTAAGAACAGAAACCATAAAACTTCTAGAAGAAAGCTTAGGGGAAAAAAAGTTTCTTTTATATTCATTCATCCTGGTAATGACTTTTTGGATATGACACCAAAAGCAAAGGCAACAAAAGCAAATACCAACAACTGTGGCAACAAACTAAAAAGCTTCCGCACAGCAAAAAAAAAAAAAAAAAAAAAATCAAACAATCAACAGAATAAAGAGGAACCTATGGAAGGGGAGAAAATATTTTCAAATCATAGATCTGATAAATGGCTAATTTCCAAAATATAAAAGGAACTCATACAAATCAGTAGAAACTGATAATAACAAAAACAACAACCTGATTAAAAAATAGGCTAAGTACCAGAATAGATATTTTTCCAAAGAAGACACATAAATGGCCAACAGATACATCAAAAAGGTGCTCAACAACACTAATTATTAGGAAAATGAAAATCAAAACCACAATGAGCTATCACCTCACACCTTTTAAAATGACTATATTCAAAAAAACAAGATTAAGTGTTGACAAAGTTGTGGAGAAAAGGGAACCCTTATACACTGTTGGCTGTACCAATGTAAACAGTATAGAGGTACCTTGAAAAATTAAAAGTGGAACTACCATATGACATAGTAATCCCATTTCTGGGTATATATCCCCCCAAAATGAAGTAATTATCTTGAAGAGATATGTGCATCCCCATGTTCTTTAGTCCCAATGCCTAAGTCATGGAAGGAACCTAAATGTCCACTGACAGATGAATGGCTAAAGGAAATGTGATATCTATTTTATATACACACACATATACACACACAATGGAATATTATTCAGTCATCAAGAAGAAGGAAACTGCCATTTTCTACAATATAAATGCCACTGGTGGCCAAAATGTGGTGCAAGAAATGGGGAGATGTTGGTTAAAAGGAACGAACTTCCAGTTATAAGATGAACAAGTTCTGGGAATATAATGTACAGCATGGTGACAATAGTTAAAAATACTGTATTGTATACTTAAAAGTTACTAAGAGAGTAGATCCTAAAGGTTCTCAAACACACCAAAAAAAAACCCCCCAAAAAACAGGTAATTATATGTGGTGATAGATGTATTATGAACCTTACCATGGTAATCATTTTTGCAATGTATATATGTATTAAAGTATCAAATTATACATATTAAACTTATATAATGTTATATGCCAATTATATCACAATAAACCTGGAAGAAAAGATTTATACATACAAATAATTAGGTATGTCTCATTTAGATTAATATTTGTTGTTAATTCCTTGAAATCCTTCCCTTTGAATTCTCTACAACCAATATCCAATGTCCTGCAAAAAAGAATGCACATTCTTTTTTCATTTTTTTACGCTGTGTAACAAAGCACCCCTAAACCTACTGCCTTAATAAAAACACCATTGATTATTTCTCAGGTCTGTGGCTTAACTTAGTTCAAGTGTGCAGCTCTTTTTAAAGGGATGTTGACCTAAGATTCAGTCTTGTGGGGCTCATCCAAACTAACACCTACAAGGTGACTAATTTACATATGTGAAACACTGGCAAGGACAGCAGGAAGGTAGGTTCAGCTGGAATGCTAGGATATACGGGTCTCTCTCACCACACTATCCCAAGGACTCTCCATCTACACCAGTACTCACGATGTCATCCTCTCACAGGTCTATTCATGTGTCTCTGTAATAGGGAAGCAAGACTTTCTACATGGTTGACTCAGGGCTCCAAAAAGTATAAACACAGAACCTGTTGGGCCTTCTGAAGGTTTAGGCCCATCTGACAGAGCTTTACCTCAACCACATTCTATTACTTAGAGGAAGTTATTCTGATGATTTGAACCAGTTTATAATGTAGTTAGAGAAAGAAGAACATAAAATATAAGTTGTTCTGAGCTTGGTGACCTCAGGCAAGTGATGTATATCCTCAATTTGTTATGTATCCAAATTATGTTCCTCAGTTTCCTCATCTATAAAACATGGACAGTAATAGTATTTGATGGAAATAATTATTATGAGGACTAAATGAGTTGGCCTGAAGGCTTTAGAACACTGTTTGGCACACAGCAAGCACTGTAAAATGAGTATTACTTAATAAGGCAAATACCTAGCTCAATTAACAACTCAACATAGACTGCCCCTTCAAAAAGTAAGTTAGGGCACTTCTGGTTTCCAGTCCAACATATAAGGAGCTTAGAAGTTGTCACACCACCCTAAAAAGTAAAAGCTGAACAAAATGAAAAAAAAAATCAACACATCTTCTTAGATTCCTCAGAAAAGGGAGGTCACACAGAGAGCCAATACCCCCAAAATCAGAGAGACAGGTAAGTGGATATAGAGATTCAGGAGCAGAAACTTACCAGCAGAGATCTCTGGAGGAACCAGTGCCTCCCGGGTAGGAAATCCTAAACTATAACTGACAAGTTACTGCAGGCACAGTGTTGACAACTCTGAGATTAAAAATTCCAGGAAGGCCTAGTCAATGAAGGGACCATCTTGCTTTGGTAAGATTAACATCCAGGAGCTCTAACAGGTCCTCAGGGTGAATACTGGACAAAAATCCACTCATGCTTCCATAGGGGAGAGGAAATAAATAATTTTGAAATACACCAGAGAATTCTGTCCTTCTTAATAAGGCCTTCCCTCAAGAGAAACTATTTAATGGACACTAAACAACTGAGGTTTTATCAGAGCCTAACTGATGTGGGAGAAGAGAAATACTCAACTCCATCTCCCTCTAGCCTTCCATTT